AATTACTCATCAAAATGCTTGATGATTGACTTCAGAGCCATCTGATGCCTGAGTGAGTGAAAGGGAGGACTTGAGAAGCAAAATAAATATCTTCTCTCTTCCTTACCCAAGTCATTCTTGGTGCAGAGGTCTATTTCATCTCTTAAAAGTTTCCATGTGATCACATTCATATTGGCATTACCATTAGATAATTTGGGGTTTGGAAGGCTCTCAGGATCACTTTAAGTTTTTATGAGGCCATCATCAGAATGTAGAGTGCTGTCAAAGAAGGAAATGAGGTCCTTAAGATATTGACAAGCTCAAGATCAGTAAAGACAACAACTCTTTATTAAGCATTTACTGCACACCAGGCAATTTGTTAAGCATGGAAAATACCAATAAAAGCAGAAAGTCCCTGCACTCAAGGAGCTTACATTCTAATGGGGAAGACAACACATAAAAGGAAGCTGAAAAGGGGATGGGAGAGATGGAAGTCCAGGCTGTCAGGAGCAGCCTGGAGAGAAACAAAGATGTGGCTGGCCTGGGTATCCTCCTTAAAAAGGAGATTCTGTGAGGACTCAAGCAATCAAAGGAGAGGCAATAGAGGAAGCAGGTACAGACAATGGGAGAAGTCCAGGGCTGAAGTGGACTTCTGGGGTAATGATAACCACTTTTAAAATAGAATGATAATAAGCATTGTGGTGTAGGGGATAGAGAGTTGGCTTTGATGTCAGGAAGACCTGGGCTCAAGTCCTACCTCGGACACTTCATGATTCTGGTGATGTCACTTAAACTCACAATGCTTGAGGCATTTCTCTAATATTATAAAATGCACTGAAGATGACAGATGACCTGGATTGGTAGAGGAGGTTTCCTCACCTGAGAACTCCCTATGACGATGAAATAATAGCTCCAGACCCTATTCCTACAATAACAATTAGCACTTAATTAAAACAACTCACATTTACCTGCTAGTTTAAGGTTTACAGAGTAGTTTCTCCATTAAAGAGGTAGCTAAATACCACAGGGACAATATACTGGGCCTGGAGTCAGGAAGTCCTGAGTTCAAATCCAGCCTCAGACACTTACTAGCTGTGTGACCCTAGGCAAGTCACTTAACCCTGTTTGCTTCAGTTTCTTCATCTGTAAAATGAGCTAGAGAAGGAAATGACAAGCCACTTCAGTGTTTTTACCAAGAAAACTTCAAATGGGGTCAAGAAAAGTTGGGCAGGGGCAGCTAGGCAGAGCAGTGAAGGCTCAGTGAATAGAGTACCTCAGACCAAACACTTGACACTTACTAGCCGTGTGACCCTGAGCAAGTCACTTAACCCCAACTGCCTTAAAAAAAAAAGTTGGACATGACTGAAACAATTAACAATACCAACAAGAATTCTGCATTAAAACTCCTTGAGGCAAACAGAACAAATATTATTATCCACATTTTACAGATGAGAAAACTATATCTCAGTAAACTTAAAGGGGTCATCCTTGTTCACATAGCCAATAAGTTTCAGAGACAGGACTAGAATGGAGGTTTCTTAGCTATAAATTTGGAGTTCTTTCCAGTACATCACACTGCTTCTGTTGGATGTATAAACCTGGAGTGTATCCATTTCTAGCTAGAGACAAAATGTCTGCTAATTAACAATGCCAAAAAGAACAATTAACCAAGCAATAAAGTTATCCTTTTTTTGTTCTTCAATTTAAAATGACAAATGTTAATTTAACAATTTACGTTCTGATAATAGGAAAGTTTTGTGTTCATAAATCACAGATAAAGTTCAACTCCTGAGAGGATAAATTGTCCAAGGTCACACAGGTATTAGATCTCAAACCCAGTTTATCTGACTCCAGAAACAGTACTCTTTTTTTTTTTTAAGGAAATTGAGGCAAGGGTTAAGTGACTTGCCCAGGGTCACACTGACAGTAAATGTCAGGCTAGATCTGAATCAGGCCCGGCACTATGACGCCATGTAGATGTCCTCAATTGTACCACTCTGACTGAGAAAGTCAGAATTCTAGAGCAGTTAGTGGCCCCTCCTCCACAAAGTCAGGAAGACCTGGGTTTAAGTCTGACCTTTGACACATACAGGTAAGGCACTTAACTTCTCTAACTTGAGCTGCCACAAGTAATTCTCTAAGAACCTAAACCACTTTGCAATTGTTAATCTGCATTTGTAGAAGGGTTTTCTTTGCTGGGAGTTCCCTCTACAAATGAAATCACAGGTCAGCTTTGCCCCATCCCTCCAATGGGAAATATCACACAGTAGATACTCAAAAAGTATTTGTCAATCAACTGAAACATAGAGACTTATTATTATTATTCCCATTCCCTTTGGCTTATAGTCAAAGTCCCAAAACCTGTTACCTGAGCCAAATAAATATTAGCTTGCAATGTAAAGAAAGGACAATACACCTCTGATGCTTACTAGCTATACTGTGATCGTGTGCAAGTAACTTAACCTTTCTTAGCCTTAGTTTGTAAAGTGGGGATAATAATAGTGTCTCTCTCACAGGGTTATTTTGAGGATATAAATGTGAGCTATTATTATTCATTACTTGCCCCATTATTTTTCCCCATTGTAGACACAGCTATAGTAGCCTAGTCAATAGAGAGATGGCCTGGAAGTCTAGAAGTCCTGCTTATCTCACTTCCCACACATAAAGACTGCGGGACAGGTCACTCAACTAACAGCACAGAACCCCAGGCAACACAAAGCCAAGAAATTGCAGAGTAACTACCAATTTGGATTAATGGCCTTCGATTAAAGCCCAAAACCTGCAGTTTAAACAAACTAAAAACTGACTGTAACACTTATTAGATGGTGGACCCTGGGCAAGTCATTCATTCATCTATAAAATAGGGATAATAGCAAGTGAGATAATGTATACTAAAGTACTTTGCAAACCATAAAATTTCTTCCCAGGGACTTCCATACATCCATAAAATTACAAGTCACACCAAAAAAAAAAAAAGAAAGAAAGAAAAAAAGAAAAGACAGCCAGAATATATAATAATAATAATAATAATAATAATAATAATAATAATACTGATAATAATAATACTGATAATAGTTGCTAACATTTATAGAGGGATTATGATATGCCAGGCACTGTGCTAAGCACTTCACAATTATAATTTCATTAGATCCTCACAACTGTATATACACACATATAAATATACATATACACATATAAATATATACATGCATATACACATATGTTAGTATACATACATACACACAAATATATATACACATAAATATATGCACTATATACACACACATACACACAATTATGCATAATTTAACACATACCAGCAATATAACTATATAAGAAGGTTAACTCTATTGGTAATGAAGCTAGGCCTTCATTTTTTTCACAAGCAAAATTAAATTCTACTAGGCTAGGCAAATGGAAACCTTGCTTCCCCACCATACAGCACGATATGTTTCACTTTTGCTTTACTCTCCTCTGGCCTTTCTTCCCTCCTTCAAAGAAGAGAAAGGCAACAAGCTGGCATATATTCTATTTACATTATATTTCTCCCTGTTAATTGTAACTTTTCTTCCCGCAAATCTGAGTCCTGTTTTCTACCCTCCAGAAGTATAATATAAAACAAACTTCTTGTCCCACTGCAAATTTGAAGGAAAGAGGGGGAGTTACAACACCCGGCAAGTCAGCATTTACCATGGCTGATATTCAAGCCACCTCACTACATTACATCACTCATGTTGTAGTGGTGCTAATAACCACATCTTTCAAAAGGCAACTGGTTTTCCAAGGCTGATGTTACATTTTGTCTGAACGTTGGCCTAGCAATAATTCCCACAAATTCTTTCTACAGTGTTGAATGAGTTTTTCAACGGTCTTTCAGGAAGAAACTGATATCTTCCATCAAAACCCAAAACAACCAAAAAACTCCCATGTAATTTGCAATTTACTGTGGCATAGGAGGTTTATGGGACTGTAGAAGAAAGGTGAGATCCCAGGGCTCAGCGACTTAGCAGGAAAGAATCAAACTTCAATGTTGGAATTTCTTGCGGTTTCAGGTAAATCAGAGAGGTGGGGGGTTGGTGCAAAGAAAGAAAACTGAGACGGATCCTGTCTCTACTGACCGCAGAAATCAAAATGTAATCTTGGTGTGAAGATTGATGCCATACACTGGCCGTCACTTAAACTCTCTGGGCATACTATTCGGCCCACTTGAGGCAGACAGGAGATTAGGAACCCCTCAGGGCCGAGTTAAACACATCTTAAGGAACTCAAGGCCCCAATCAAAGAACAATCGAGGTTTCTCAGGTTTCTAGCCACTAATTCGGGTTTTAGCAGCACAGGGTACTAAAACTAAGACCTGGCTGCCTGAGGAAATCCAACAGGTGTCCAGTCCAGGAAGGGGGGAGGGGGAAACACACACCCACGAGTCATAGAATCCAGGGGCATTTTCCTCTCTCTTGCCCCACAGAACAACTAGGGCTGCTTTCATCGAAGGTGCTAGGGTCATGTTCGACCTGAGAGTCCAAGTGAATTTCTCCACAGCAAAAGAAACATAAAGATGGGGGTGGGGGTAGCAGAGGAAGAAATGGGGTGTAAGACTCTTTGAAAGGCAATTCCTCGACTCCCCCCGAAAAAAACCCTTTAATGTAATCCAAACCTTTCCATCCCCTCCCCGGTCACACATTCGAGGAAACTATTTGGCCACAGCGAGCTAGCGGCCAAAGTAAAGGGCCGATGCCAGAATCTTAAGGGCTGCAGAGGGGGGACCGCAATGAGGGGAGGAGAGCTTTAGAAGGGAATGGGGAAATCGTGAGAGGACTATTGGGGGTAAGTGAGGAAATGGGAGACCCTGCACCCCACCTTTTTCCTCTCCCACGCAGTTACTTGCCTTGTCCTCCCTGGCTCAGACTCCCGGGGTCCTGCCACTCTTTGGCGCTCCAGGAAGCTCCCATAGGCAGAGCGCTCCAAGGGACTGTCCCGGGCAGGAGCCGCTGTGAGCCCCGCGCGGGTGGCTACTTGCTCACCTGGCCGCTGCCCACGTCCGGGGACTCCTGGCCGGAATCGCGCAGGAGGCTAGCGCCGCTGCAGCTGCCTCGGCCAGAGCGTTTCGCGCGCGGTCGGTTGCTGCGCGCAGAGCGCACCGCCACCTTGGCAGCTGCAATAGCAGAGGCAGACCCAGCCACAGCGGGAGCAGCTGCGCGAAGCTCCCACTCAGTCCCCGCCGCAGGGAAGGAGCTGGAGCTCGGCGGGCCCCCTGCAGGTGGGGAATGAGTGAGAGCAAGGGAGAGAGCGCGGAGCTGCTCCAGGGGAGTCTGGAGGCGTGGAGAGAAGCTGCGTGGCAGGGGCGCTGCGGCTCCCGGGGAGGGGCGACCCAGGAGAGGGGGTGGACAGGGAATGATGAGATCCACCTCATGCCTCTTTGCAGCCCCATCCCCATCTCTTTCCGCTCTCCACGTCTCTTGAGACTCTCGGAGGGCAGCACTGCTGGCTCGCAGGTTAAGTAGGTGACCAAAATAAACCCCCCCAAAATACCGAGATCTGGGAAGAGTCACTGGGAAGAGAACTTTAGTGGACTGAGCATTGCCACGTGCCTACAGCCACGAGGAAGCCTCTATCCGCCCTCATCCTGGCACTAGAGGAGAAGCCGCCCTTCCCCCCAGCCCACCACTTCTAGCGCTGAGCCCCGAGTCTCATTCTCTTGCTTCCCTTCCCGACGTGCTGAACGAGTCGGGAGCTCCCACCTTCCTCCCTTCCATACCCAATCTCTGCACCTAACCATTTGGGGATCAAAATGGAGAGGCAGTGTGCCCGGGGAGAGAGAAAGGGGGGCTGATTCGATTTTGGATCTGAGAAGGAAGGAGACTTGTTAAGATACAGCTAATACTAGGAAGGCCGCGAAGTTCCAGCTACTTCTCTGAGGAAGGGGAGTGCCCACCAGAAATGAGGGCAACTTGTTCACTCAGGCAAGAGCAAATCTGGAGACAAAACAACTCTCCACGCTGATCCACGTATGGATGAAGTATCAGTCGTCTTCTCCCCACTGCAAAGCCAACACCAGCCCTAGTTACTAACCAAGACTCATTATAGAACCTCCTACGACCAGGGATGTCTAAATATAAGATTGGCACCTCAAGTCTCCCTAGAATGATTTAGATCTGCCATGCAAAGTAGTACAAGCCCACATAATCCTGCCCAAATGGAATGGGGCTGGTTTTAGACATTAAAAAAAAAATCCATCTGTGTGGGTCCTGTACTTCTACAGGCTAATGATTCTGTCCCCCAACATGAATCATCAGGATTAATGACACCGGTAAGTAGGGGAAGAAGGGCTACTAGTGATTGTTTAATTTGCTTAATTTTTAAAGGTTTTTATTAGGCTGGTATGGATGGTGAAAGTTTTCAGCTGTACTAATTTTAGCTTCAGGTGTGTAGGTGACAGCAGAATGTATGAGGTGACCTCTGGAAGTTCCTTGAAGTGTTACGATTGTGTAGGCACTAGAAAGAGATCCTGATTTCTCATTTTTGCTTGAGCTTTTTTGAAGAGCAAAATAAAACACAAGATCATAATATGATCATGAAGATTCTGTGTTTGGTTGTAGGCACTCAGTAAATGTTTATTCATTTCGCATTTGAGACCTAGAGTTGGAAGGGCCCTTAGACATTTTCTAATCCAATCAACTTAGTTACAATGAGGAAATAGGCCCAGGGAGGGCCTGGGGACTTACCCAAGGTCACAGAGGTAATAAGCTTTAGAGGCAGAATGTGAACGGAGGGTCCTAGAGTGCAGTCATTGTTCTTTTCACAATACCAGGAGGCCTCCCATCTGATTGATAGCTATTTGTTGTTATTGAGTTATTTCAGACTTTCTGTGACCCCATTTGGGGTTTTCTTGGCAAAGAAACTGAAGTGGTTTGCCATTTCCTTCTCTGGCTCATTTTATAGATGAGAAAACTGAGGCCAACAGTGACTTACTCTGGGTCACACAGCTAGTAAATGTCTGAGGCTAGATTTGAACTCATGAAAAAGAATCTTCCAGACTCTAGGCCCATGCACCTCACCATCCAGTTGCTCTGATTGCTGTTTAGGGAACTCCTGAAAGATTCCTTGTGCATAATGATGATGTGATGATGAAAATGAAATCTACCCACACCAAGGAAAGGTATGACTTAGTAGGCTCATAGAATCCTAGAGCTAACAGGGTCTTTTTATGTCTATCAGCCTTGCACAGAGTAGGTGCTTGATAGAGACGGGTTGAAATTAATTGAGTTTTTAAAAAGACACTGAAGAACAATAAAATGGTTTGCCTAAAGTCACTGAAAAGTCTTGCAAAGCCAGCACTAAAAACCAGGCTTTCTACCTACACGTCAAGGTACTCCTTCCACTGCACCTAGCAATGAGGTTGCTTAGGATGTAAGGGGTAGGTTATTTAAGGGATTATTTTCTCTCACTTTGACTGAGGAACCACTTTCTACCATACAAGGACTGAAAGGTGGCCTCTTTGGAAGGAGATGCCAAATTAAAGAATTTGTGCTGCATTAGATGTAGAAGAAAGTCACTTAAAGCCTATCTTTATGTAGCTAGAAAGGGGAAGTTTATTTTTTTAAAAACGATTGGCTCTTTTGCACAAGAAATTCATTTGGAAGTACATTTTGAAATTTTAAGTAAGTTCTTTGAGCTGCATGGAAGAAAGGAGCTCTAATAAAGAACAAATTGTAATTAAGACCAAGGTGCCCCCAAAGCATTAATATCCTGGAGTATGGTTGACTGACTCATGAAAATCAGACATAGTGGATTTGAAAGTATGACTTTCTGTTTTACAAAAACCCTCAAGCTGAGACCAAACAATGACAGTGCCCTGAATCACCTTCTTCTTTCTATTCCTCTACCTTCAACCTTTTTTCCTTGATTGTTCAAAATTATATGTATTTTTGTTCTTGTACCTGCTTAATGAGAGGCCTTATATTATAATGAAAAGAAAGCCACTCTTAGAGTCACTAGACATGTGTTCAACCCACTTCTGACCTACTGACTATGTGTGACCCTAGGCATATTTCTTAACCTTTCAGTGGCAACTATGAATGAATGAACGAATAACATTTATAGAATACCCAAGTAGGCGCTTAGGGATACAAATAAAAAATCTGGACAGTCCCTGCCCTCCAGAGAAAGGGACGTTTTAGAGCTATTGAAAAGGTAGAAACAAGATTTGACACCAGATTGTATATGTAGTGATAAGTGAGAATGAAAAGTCAAAAAGGATTTAGGAAGAAATAGACAAATGTTTTCATGTTGCAAATCTAACACAGTCTTGTTAGCTTAGGAGAGAAAGTAGAATTGGCCTTTCTGTTATGATCTTAACCCCCAAGAAAAATTGTCCTTTGGGACAGCCAAAATTTTGACCCTTGAAACATTCAAAGACTGTGTTTACGTTCTCATTCTTCACCAAATTATCGCCATTGTCTTAAAATGTTATCTGTTGAATGTCTGGATATGTCAGAAGCACTCAAATTAGATCTAGTCTCTGCCCTTCAAATGCTTTGTTCTAAGAAAAAACACCATCATTAAGTCATAAAGAGTGATGTGAATTTAATTAATTGATTCATTTTTGATCAAAGGCAGGAGGAAGACTATAATAAAACTTTATTGAAACCACATAGAAATGAAAGAGGCTTTTCTGATTGAAGAAAAATCCCAGGGGTTTTCTGATAAAACACGCATTATCAGCAATTAAGCAAGTTTCTGCAAACGGACTACTGAACACATATTTTAGGGAGCAGAGGGAGTTTAGGCCTATAATTTCATCAGTGTGGGGAACTCCCAGTGTGGAAATAACCTGTATTAGTCAGATGCGCAATTCACCTTGTCTGTCTGTAACTCAGTCTTAGAAAATTGCCTGGGCGCTGTGAAGTTAATTGACTTGCCCAAGGTCACCCAGCTATAATGTATCACAGGCAGGTTGAATGTAGGCCTTGATTCCAAGGGCAGCTCTCTACCTGTCTGCTTCATATATGAGTGTCTGTGTGTATCTACATATCTATATCTATCCATATATATGGGTATAGTGAGTTGAATATGGTGCACAAAGCTGACCTTCCTACTTCTAGCCAACTATATGTGCATGATTCAGTGCTATAGGGGCTTGGTACTTTGGGGATGTCAAACCCTTGGTTCCTCTTCCCACTCATTGAAAAAATTTTTTTAAAATCCCTTTTACAAATGTACATGTATGTATATGCATGTATGTGTGTGTGTATACACACACACATACACACACACACACACACACACACACACACACACACATATATATATATATATATATATGATTGGCTATGTCCAAAAATGTGTCTCAGTCTTTGCCCTGAGGCCATTACCTTCCTATTGGGAGGTGGGTAGCATGGGTAGCATGAGTCATTTGGAATCATGTGTGGTTGTTGTACCCATCAAAGATCCTAAGTCTTTCCAAGTTGTTTGTCTTTATAATATTGTTGTTATTATTTAAATTATTCTCCTGGTTCTTCTTACTTCATTCTGCATTAATTCATATAAATCTTACTAGGTTTTTTTTCATTTCTTAGTTTTATTGTTTCTTACAGCACAATAGTATTCCATCAAATCACGTATATAACTTGTTCAGTCATTCTCAACTGGTGGGCACCCTCTCAGTTTCCAATTTTTTGCCACCACAAAAAAAAAATCTGGTGCTATATTTATTTTGGTATATATAGGACCTTTCTCTTCCTCTTTCAATCATTTTGGGATTATAGATCTAATAATGGTATTGCTGGGTCAAAGGGTATGTGGAGTTTAATGGCTTTTTGGGCATAGCTCCAAATTGCTTTCTGGAATAGCTGGACTAAGTTATTAATTCCACCAACAGAGTGTTAATATACCTGTTTTCCCACAACTCTTCCAGCATTTATCATTTTCCTTTTTTTTTTAGGTGTAAGGTGGAACCTCAGGTTGTTTTAATTTTTGTTTTTCTAATTATTAATGATTTAGAGCATTTTTTTCATATGACTATTGATAGCTTGAATTTAGTTCTTCGAAAACTGCCTCTTCATATCCTTTGACCATTTATTATTTG